AACCGTTTTAACGGATAAATAAAACATAAAGTCACCTGCAGGTCCACGCCAAGCAGATAACCAGTGGTGGGCTTTTCATTAAGTTTACATCTTTCTACAACAACTTGACTCCAAGAACCAGGAGCACAGCCAACATCCACTATCGTCATGCCTAAACTAAAAACCCGATCTTGACTCAAATGTACTCAAAATAAACAACTAAAACTGTCCAACAATGGGATAAAGGATAAAGCATAACCTACCAGGTTTCAAAATCTGGAATCGATCGTCGATTTCGATTAGTTTGAACGCTGATCTGGCTCTGTAAGAATGCTCACGAGCCTTTACAGCAAATTCGTCCGTCATTTGTCTCCGCAGATATTTCGTCGTATTTGCTTTTGCTTTAGATGCGAAAAGACGGTGATTAGAAGCAGTAGGTAGCCACAGTTTATTCATTGTATTGAAATATCTAAAAACTGTGTCACATAATATGAAATAAAATTTAAAACAATTTAAAGTAGATGTATTGTGTAAAACAGTTTCGTAGGATAGAGCTAAAATCATTTCAATTACCTTTATTGAAAAGACTGATCGAACACATTTCAATAATTACTAGAGAAACGAAAATTATATCAGGCAGGCTAACAAAGCAACAACAATAAACAAATCTAGACGATGCTTACAGGGTAGTATCTCAGCTTATATGTACAAACGCGTAAACGTATCACAAAAACGTCATTTTTTATACAACAATCTTACTCCGGTAAAGCTAAACATTGATTTACTGCATGCATCAGATTTGAGTTCTCCATGGCAGCTGCAACTCTCTCTTTATCGGCAAGTTGTCGATTTATCGCCTCTTCTGTATTATGCGAACCTTCCGTTATAGAAACACGAACCTATAAAAATTAGAAATTCCGACTTTTAATTTTTCAAACTTCATATCCAGTTTTTTAGCAGATGAAAGTCAACGCACTTTGATCCTCGGATGGAGCGAACGTGCCAGCTTTACTCTAATGGCGAGTCCGATCAAAGT